ACTGGCCGCCCGTAGCTGAGTGTCGTGCCCCCCCCCAACATCCCCGGCACGGCACCGGGAGCCTCCCCCCACCCCCCACCCCGGGGCTTTCCACTGGAAATGCACTTCGCTATAAAACAATAAAGTCAATAAACTGGTTGAAGGTACCTTTTTGTTCCTGTTTGGCGGGGAAGGGGCACAGACACGCGCCGGAGGTGGGCCCCGGCGGGGTTTCCTTGTCGGAGCCAGTCACCCTGGTTTTGCGATTTGAGAGGCAAAAAAAAAAAAAAAAAAGAAAAAAAAAGAAAAAAAAAGGTGCTTCAGCCTTGTACTGTGTATATATATTAAAAAAAAAAAAAGTTTTGTATGTTTTTATTACTTTAATTATTGTTATAAAAAGCTTGCCTTTTTTTTTTTAAGATGTTTCTGCTTTTTTTTTTTTTTGGCTTTTTTTATTTTTTCCCCCCTTTCCCCTCCCTTCTCCCTCCCCCCTTTTTTATTTTCTTTCTTTTTTTTTCGGCGAAAGGATTAACTTGCTTTTGGTGTTTGTACTGCTGCTGGTCAGGACAGAAAAAGATATCGAAGTGTTTTAAAAGAATTTAAAACCAGGAAAAATAAAATCCCCTTTTCCAGTGGGGCAGGTGCTGTCCCACTGCCAGTCCCTTGGGAACCCGGAGCCGAGTCCTTCCACCACCCTCAACCTCCTGGTTTGGGTTGTTTGTTTTTTTTTTTTTACCCTTTTTCCTTTGGTTTCTGGGTCTTTTTGTGGTCCCTCTGGGCAGCTGTGGGTGTCGTGGTGCCGGGCGGTTTCTCAGCCTTGTGTGGGGCTCCGTCTGCCAAATCCGAAATAGAAAACAATTGCGCCGGGAGGGCTGGAGGGTTTGGGGACGATGGGTGACACGGGGGTGTCCTTGTCCCCGTCCTTTAAAATAGCGAGACAATCAGAGCGGTGCTCAGGCAGTTTGGGCAGGGGGGAGCCAGGGTTTGCCCGTGGGCTCGGTGGCGTGGCATGGGGGTCGGTGGCACCACGGGGACTAAGCCAGGTCGAGCTCTCGCCGCCCGCACCTGCCTGCGCCTCC